GGGGGGGGGGGGGGGGGGGGGGGGGGGGGGGGAACGAGTTGTGCCGTTTCATTTGTTTTCGGATCGTGTCATCTTAGGATTGTCTTGAGTAATAGTTGACCCTAACACGAGTGTTTCAGATGTCCTAATACTAACCCGATTGTTTATTAATCTTTTGTGTTTAGGTTAACCTGGATAACTCATGAACCAAAAGCCTAGTGGTAGGACCTCTTTCTGTCTTGACCAAAACCACTACCAGCAGGGTATCCCATAAACTAAAAGTCCACCCAATTATGCTCGCAAAATCAATTAAAAACTACTAATTATGAAACCATACTTGATAATGAAATAGAAAAAAGTAATACAGAAAAATAAACATATTTGCATATAATACTTGTTAAATGGATTAGTCGTGTCAAATCAAAAGCAAGTTATTCATGTTTGCCACTAATTTGGTCCGCTTATCGGTTTGTGTCAATAGATCGTGTTATTGTTTTGTCATTGTCAATAAGTATTCAACCCTAAACCATTAATTTCATATCGTGTTCGTGTCGTAAAGATTTTTTCAGTTTGTAATCTTTTTCCCCTTTTAGTTATGACATTTGTTACAAATTGAAGAAGAAATCATACCCATCTGGCAGTTACACGATCCTGGAGTTCCCGTTTTGCTTCAATAGGGCGTCTGCCTGTGACTAGCTCTACAAGTAAGACTCCAAATGAATAAACATCACTCTTCTCTGTAAGTTGGTAAGTTTTCAGGTATTCAGGGTCTAAGTAGCCAGCAGTTCCTCTAACTTGGGTAGATACATGGGTGGCTCCTGAATCACTATCAGCCGCCAGCCGGGCAAAACCAAAGTCAGCTACCTTAGCTCGAAGGTTCTCAGTAAGGAGAATGTTGGAAGACTTGATGTCTCTGTGGATGATAGGGTGATCTGCAGACAAAGTCCAGTATGATGTCCAAAATGAGATGCTATAACTCGTAGGTATGGTGATCAAGGGTTAACTGTTTCGATTCATAGTTTTGGTTAGTTCATAAGAAAATAAATGATTCGGAGTCTAATACAAATTTGGAAAACTACCCCCCTGAAATACATTGGAACATAGTTTCGGAAAGAAAAAGTGTTTGACCAGTTACTTTTTGTTTTTGTTTTTGTTTTTTGAACACTAAGAACAAAAACTGGGTAGAGCTATTTTGTGTATTTTTAAAAATAAATTTTCTAGAATTTAAAAAATTCCACTACCTCCACCACGAGGTCCACCACACTTCCACCACCACCACCATTCTTCCATCACCACACTGTTACCCCCACCATACCACAACAACCACACTTCCACCACTCCAACACCACCACCACCACCACCACGGCCACCACACCAACACCACCACATTTTGTTTTCATTGTTTCCTAAGTTAATGTCTAAACAAGTTTTAATATTTCCATAGATCCGTTTTTGGAATCATATAATCAAATAAGTTATGCGATACAAAAAACACTAAAAACAGTTTTCTAAAACTCTTCTCAAATATAATTTTCAGATACTGTTTTTGAAATGTAAACCAAACAGGGCTGAATTTCAATATTCAATCACTATTCTGTTTTTGTTTCCATAGAAATATAAACGTTTCACTAGTTTTTGTGGGAAAGAAACAAAATTTTGAACTTTGATTGTTAGCCGAGTTACTAGAATTCACTAAATCCCTGACGACCCATGATCTGGATACATCAATCCCAAACAGGGTGGTTCAAGATCGAGATACCAAAATGTACAATCTCAAATTGTACACGTAGTACAAATATAAAAAATATATTAATTAACTACGTGTATATAGATTTATAATTATATATTATTTTAAATAATAGAAATCAAGCACAAATATAAGATAAATGGTAATTGACTTAGTGTTTATGAATGTTCTATGATATATAATTTTGTATAGTGGTAAAAAAGATATAGATAAGAGTTTTAAAACGAATTGCGACCCAAAATACCATACCAGCTAAGTTTACTCTCATCGTACTGCGTACATAAAAAAATATCTTACTACATATCTGCACTCACATCATGTACCAAAGTGACCCACGATTGAGATAACATTGATTGTAAGCAACAACCAAAATTATGTTTTGGTACATAGTTTTGCTCAGATTATAAACAGAAACATTTCGAAAATAGAATAGAAAAAAAAAATTAAAAATCTATTTTAAAAACATTCTAAAGCATTGATTGAAACATAATGGAACGTTTCGAAACATCGAAGTTTCGATATTCAATCACTTATTCATTTCGATGAAAATAATAACAATTTCAATGGGAAAAAAAACGAAATTTTGATACTTGAAGTCAACTTGGCTGCCTTAAACACATACCTGTGTACATATGGAGATATGTAATTGCATGAGCCACATCAATTGCAACATCTAGCCGCGCAGCAAGATCAATAACATTGCCTCGTGTACCTACATATCAAATCCTTCAATTACATTTCAGCATTCTAATACTGCATAACAATTCAAACAACAAAAAAGGGTAACTCACAATCTAAGTGTTCTCTCAGGGTGCCATTGGGAACATACTCTACAACAACAATCTTTTCATCCTCATGCTCCAAATACCCATAAAACTTCACCAAATTCAGATGCTCCACTTTTGCCAGAGTTCGGATCTCGCTTAGAAATTCGACTCCCAAATGTTTATCATACACACTCTACAGAGAAAACAGTGGGAGTAATTTAAAACAAAACCCATTTCAACAAAATGAAGTTTGTAAATAATCAAACGCCAACCTTTTTAGCACGTTTAATTGCAACAATGGTTCCATCTTCAAGTCGACCTTTGTAGACTGCACCAAAACCGCCTTGTCCAATTTTTAAAGTGGGTGAGAAGTTCTTTGTGGCCATGTTGATTTCCTCAAGGGTGAATTTTATACTTCCAGGCTCTCTCATATGTGTTGAATTGTCAGAACTGACATAAATTCCGCGATTTGAACTACGTCTCCTCTCGGTACCGGCACTACTAGAACCATCCGATACAACTAAGAAAAGAACAAATGAAAATTTCGTTCAAACTCATCTAGTTCATTTCACCAAAAAAAAAAAGAAAAACTTATTACCCAATTGAAGTGAACACTAAATAGTGTCAATAGTACAAGCAGGATGAAACATTCATGGCATATTGTGAATTAAATCCCTTGAGATAGAGTAAAAAACATCCACTAAATGGTTTTTTTGCCAATTAAAAGCAGCATTCAAGCATCCACTTAATCCTATACCTCAAGTTGAAGCACACTGACTTCTCTCAACTAAGACCTCTCAATCAACTGACTCTACCATTTGCCCATTAGGTCATTATTATCAAGTGCACTACTACTGTTGCTATGTGTAGATGGACATTTGGTATCGTACCAAAAATCACACGTTTTAAGTGAAGTTATAACTTTTTGCGTCAAACATACAATTAAATGGCTCAAGTTACATCCCAAAAAAAGGCCAAGTTCAAAACCAAACAATCCCATTTTCTGTTGAGTGTTAACCTCAACCCTAGTATTTAGTAACTATAGTATGAGACCAAAAAGTTCGTTTATACCACAAATCTTTCTCACTAAAGTAGTGGCCATTAATCTTTCTTCCAAAAGAATCAAAAACTGAATGCAACAGATAGATCCCCCCCCCCCGGCGGGGGGAATTTTCCATTTTCTAGTAACATTTTTTTGTGGTTACAGGAAATTGTTCATTTTATAAATAACTGTAGACTGTAGTAGTGCGGGTAAGGGCTGCTATACTCACGTCCTGGGATTCTACGTCTGCTATACCCTTTTTACCTATCGACAAAAAAAAAAGAAGAACAGGAGTGGATCGCAAGAGCTTATGATTTCTGATATACATTCATTTAAAGAGGAATTAATGGATCGCAAGAGCTTTAAGCTCATATATATAATCACCCAAAAGAAAAAAAATTATATAAGCAATATCTTCGGTTACCAGAATGAGGCTTGAATGTGCCAGAATCACCAAAGCCCGTAGAACTCTTGGTCCCCGGTGGAGTGAAACAAGAGACAAAAGCTTCGGCAACGGATCTGGCGGCGAGTTTGACTGGGTTTCGCCCGGAAGTTGACTTCTGGGAGGACGAGGAGGAGGAGTATGTGGAGCTAGGGGAGTAGGTCACACGGTCCGGTGTGGAAAACTCTCCAGAGGTTCTATTCCGGCGACCGAAAAGTGGGTTCGGGCTTTTCATTCTGTGTCTGTATGGGGGAGAGAGAGAGGATCCAGGTAGTTGTCACATTATAACGACGACGACGACGACGACTTCGATTTTTATTGCATGGTAGATGGGACAGGCGTGTGTGAGACTGGAATTTGAGTTTAGGAAAATTAAACTTTGATCCCCTTTGAACTCGATTTTATTTTACCCCTCAAACTAATAAATATTTCATAATTACCTCTCAACTACTCGAATCATTTCAGATTACCCCAACTGCAAACTCCATTATTCACCTATATTTACAAAAGTGTTACATACAAAAGTGTGTTTAATAAACACGCTTTTCATGTTTTTCATCATAGCTATCGATCACATCTTTTATTTAAAAGCAGAGTTATTAACTTTATTTTTTAACAAAAGTGTACTTATTAATTTAATTTTTAAAAAATATTAAAATTTAATAAATAAGTTTAAAAGTCTTAAAGTAAAGTAAGGGACAAGCAATTTGATTTCAATTAGCGGTAAAGACAAAGATAGGTACATGTCAAAGTCAACCCACAAGCTGAGGCCCCCCAAAGTAAAGCACACAGCCCGTCTGTTAGGCAAATCATTTATTAAACATGACAGACAAATTACCCAAATCTATTGAGACTCTGCTCATATCTCATGTCGGTTTGATTGGTCGTATCATCTGTTATTAAGGGAAAGTTCACAAATTCAAAAGTCGTTGGGGAGAATTGAAAAGAGTAATGCTATGTAATATAAATCTATAACTTAAATTTGTATTTTAAATAAAGAGAGATCATTAAATTAGTAAGTTCTATTTAAAAAAGTCGATGGAATCCACTGATCTAATAATTTTCCTTCATTTGGAATACAAATTTAGATTACAAATTTGAGTTATATGGTATTTTTCAATAAAAAATAAGACTTGACTAGGGTGTCGAACAAAAAAATCGGNCTAATAATTTTCCTTCATTTGGAATACAAATTTAGATTACAAATTTGAGTTATATGATATTTTTCAATAAAAAATAAGACTTGACTAGGGTGTCGAACAAAAAAATCGGTACTGTATTTTAAAATTTTACTATTTTAATAAGTATTTTTATAATTTTTGTGAGTTATTTTATAAGCAATTTTTTTTTTTTATAGGTGATTTATTATTTTTGTGAATGTTTTTCCTACTGTTATGCTAATTATTTTTATCACTTTTTTCGGTATTATAACAATGGTAAAAACATTAACAAATGTGATTAAAAAAAAACTCACAAATATGATAAAAGTCGGTGAAGTACCAAAATTTTGTTTTTTGTACCAAAGTCGTAGAAGATAACAAATCTAATGCATTAGCATCAACGAACTACCAATATTAGTAATGGGTTTTTTTTTTTTGAACATGACCAATATTAGTAGTTAACTTGTCTTTCAAATTTCGAAGTTGTTTTGGGAGACTGTATGTGTATTGTTATCAGGATTCTGGTGCTTGCTGTTAAGTAGGAATAACAGACAAGTGGTGCACTTTTAACCTACACACTAATTGTTGCAATTAGTAGTTAAGNTTTTGCTCAGATTATAAACAGAAACATTTCGAAAATAGAATAGAAAAAAAAAATTAAAAATCTATTTTAAAAACATTCTAAAGCATTGATTGAAACATAATGGAACGTTTCGAAACATCGAAGTTTCGATATTCAATCACTTATTCATTTCGATGAAAATAATAACAATTTCAATGGGAAAAAAACCGAAATTTTGATACTTGAAGTCAACTTGGCTGCCTTAAACACATACCTGTGTACATATGGAGATATGTAATTGCATGAGCCACATCAATTGCAACATCTAGCCGCGCAGCAAGATCAATAACATTGCCTCGTGTACCTACATATCAAATCCTTCAATTACATTTCAGCATTCTAATACTGCATAACAATTCAAACAACAAAAAAGGGTAACTCACAATCTAAGTGTTCTCTCAGGGTGCCATTGGGAACATACTCTACAACAACAATCTTTTCATCCTCATGCTCCAAATACCCATAAAACTTCACCAAATTCAGATGCTCCACTTTTGCCAGAGTTCGGATCTCGCTTAGAAATTCGACTCCCAAATGTTTATCATACACACTCTACAGAGAAAACAGTGGGAGTAATTTAAAACAAAACCCATTTCAACAAAATGAAGTTTGTAAATAATCAAACGCCAACCTTTTTAGCACGTTTAATTGCAACAATGGTTCCATCTTCAAGTCGACCTTTGTAGACTGCACCAAAACCGCCTTGTCCAATTTTTAAAGTGGGTGAGAAGTTCTTTGTGGCCATGTTGATTTCCTCAAGGGTGAATTTTATACTTCCAGGCTCTCTCATATGTGTTGAATTGTCAGAACTGACATAAATTCCGCGATTTGAACTACGTCTCCTCTCGGTACCGGCACTACTAGAACCATCCGATACAACTAAGAAAAGAACAAATGAAAATTTCGTTCAAACTCATCTAGTTCATTTCACAAAAAAAAAAAAGAAAAACTTATTACCCAATTGAAGTGAACACTAAATAGTGTCAATAGTACAAGCAGGATGAAACATTCATGGCATATTGTGAATTAAATCCCTTGAGATAGAGTAAAAAACATCCACTAAATGGTTTTTTTGCCAATTAAAAGCAGCATTCAAGCATCCACTTAATCCTATACCTCAAGTTGAAGCACACTGACTTCTCTCAACTAAGACCTCTCAATCAACTGACTCTACCATTTGCCCATTAGGTCATTATTATCAAGTGCACTACTACTGTTGCTATGTGTAGATGGACATTTGGTATCGTACCAAAAATCACACGTTTTAAGTGAAGTTACAACTTTTTGCGTCAAACATACAATTAAATGGCTCAAGTTACAACCCAAAAAAAGGCCAAGTTCAAAACCAAACAATCCCATTTTCTGTTGAGTTGTAACCTCAACCCTAGTATTTAGTAACTATAGTATGAGACCAAAAAGTTCGTTTATACCACAAATCTTTCTCACTAAAGTAGTGGCCATTAATCTTTCTTCCAAAAGAATCAAAAACTGAATGCAACAGATAGATCCCCCCCCCCCGGCGGGGGGAATTTTCCATTTTCTAGTAACATTTTTTTGTGGTTACAGGAAATTGTTCATTTTATAAATAACTGTAGACTGTAGTAGTGCGGGTAAGGGCTGCTATACTCACGTCCTGGGATTCTACGTCTGCTATACCCTTTTTACCTATCGACAAAAAAAAAAGAAGAACAGGAGTGGATCGCAAGAGCTTATGATTTCTGATATACATTCATTTAAAGAGGAATTAATGGATCGCAAGAGCTTTAAGCTCATATATATAATCACCCAAAAGAAAAAAAATTATATAAGCAATATCTTCGGTTACCAGAATGAGGCTTGAATGTGCCAGAATCACCAAAGCCCGTAGAACTCTTGGTCCCCGGTGGAGTGAAACAAGAGACAAAAGCTTCGGCAACGGATCTGGCGGCGAGTTTGACTGGGTTTCGCCCGGAAGTTGACTTCTGGGAGGACGAGGAGGAGGAGTATGTGGAGCTAGGGGAGTAGGTCACACGGTCCGGTGTGGAAAACTCTCCAGAGGTTCTATTCCGGCGACCGAAAAGTGGGTTCGGGCTTTTCATTCTGTGTCTGTATGGGGGAGAGAGAGAGGATCCAGGTAGTTGTCACATTATAACGACGACGACGACGACGACTTCGATTTTTATTGCATGGTAGATGGGACAGGCGTGTGTGAGACTGGAATTTGAGTTTAGGAAAATTAAACTTTGATCCCCTTTGAACTCGATTTTATTTTACCCCTCAAACTAATAAATATTTCACAATTACCTCTCAACTACTCGAATCATTTCAGATTACCCCAACTGCAAACTCCATTATTCACCTATATTTACAAAAGTGTTACATACAAAAGTGTGTTTAATAAACACGCTTTTCATGTTTTTCATCATAGCTATCGATCACATCTTTTATTTAAAAGCAGAGTTATTAACTTTATTTTTTAACAAAAGTGTACTTATTAATTTAATTTTTAAAAAATATTAAAATTTAATAAATAAGTTTAAAAGTCTTAAAGTAAAGTAAGGGACAAGCAATTTGATTTCAATTAGCGGTAAAGACAAAGATAGGTACATGTCAAAGTCAACCCACAAGCTGAGGCCCCCCAAAGTAAAGCACACAGCCCGTCTGTTAGGCAAATCATTTATTAAACATGACAGACAAATTACCCAAATCTATTGAGACTCTGCTCATATCTCATGTCGGTTTGATTGGTCGTATCATCTGTTATTAAGGGAAAGTTCACAAATTCAAAAGTCGTTGGGGAGAATTGAAAAGAGTAATGCTATGTAATATAAATCTATAACTTAAATTTGTATTTTAAATAAAGAGAGATCATTAAATTAGTAAGTTCTATTTAAAAAAGTCGATGGAATCCACTGATCTAATAATTTTCCTTCATTTGGAATACAAATTTAGATTACAAATTTGAGTTATATGGTATTTTTCAATAAAAAATAAGACTTGACTAGGGTGTCGAACAAAAAAATCAGTACTGTATTTTAAAATTTTACTATTTTAATAAGTATTTTTATAATTTTTGTGAGTTATTTTATAATCAATTTTTTTTTTTATAGGTGATTTATTATTTTTGTGAATGTTTTTCCTACTGTTATGCTAATTATTTTTATCACTTTTTTCGGTATTATAACAATGGTAAAAACATTAACAAATGTGATTAAAAAAAAACTCACAAATATGATAAAAGTCGGTGAAGTACCAAAATTTTGTTTTTTGTACCAAAGTCGTAGAAGATAACAAATCTAATGCATTAGCATCAACGAACTACCAATATTAGTAATGGGTTTTTTTTTTTTGAACATGACCAATATTAGTAGTTAACTTGTCTTTCAAATTTCGAAGTTGTTTTGGGAGACTGTATGTGTATTGTTATCAGGATTCTGGTGCTTGCTGTTAAGTAGGAATAACAGACAAGTGGTGCACTTTTAACCTACACACTAATTGTTGCAATTAGTAGTTAAGTTGTTACCAAATCAGTATCGCAATTGGTTGATTGGAACACTTACAAGGAACTTCAAAGCATAACAGTTGGTTGGCTGAGACAGTTGGCCACCTGACGCCACTAGCTTGGCAGATTTTGGATCCTCAAACATAGGGCAGCTTCTCCCATATCTGAACACCTAACATTTGAAAAATGTATTATTGAATAAGAAAGTTAAAGATTCCGAAAAATGTATTAATGAATTAGAAAGTAAAGATTCTTGGAACATTGATTATGAGGAACAATGAGGTGTTAGTTGTCTAAATTTCAGCATCATCTATATTATGGAATGGGCTGCGCTTGCTCTGAGAAAAATGCAGCAACGTGTAGTGGGCGCTGAGGATTTTTTTTCTAAGGTGAGAACATATACAACACAAGGTGGAGAGGAGAAAAGATGGCAGAAGGATCCACAGGACAACATCATCCAAACAATTGCTGGCAGAGAGGTTATTTGCTATGTGATTCATCGGTACGTTGTTTGAAAAGAATGAATCTCAATTATGCAACCTTAAACTGCAAACCAAACGACAATTGTAAGTTACCAGAAGTTTCAAGGAAAAAAAAAACATAAAATCACATATAGAGGGTTTTTGTGGAGAAAAATGGGTTCATACACTTGTGGTCCTCGAAGTATATACTCGTCTCATTTATGTCCCACGGACCCACGTGTTCCAATGATGTCAATAAGATCCCTAAAGTATGCCATTTGTTTTCAACTGGTCCTTTCATTGAATGCCATTCAAATAATTAACAGAAGTAGGTCATGTTCACATCATGTGGAGGGACATTTCATGAAAATAAGAAAGTTTACCAAAATTAGGGAATATATACTGGATTTGTAATTGTCTGACATGGGTGTTTGTGTATTCTGTGAATAATCCCTCTTTTTACCAAAAGAATTTAGAAATAGTGTTGGGGGGTGGTGCAAGTGGAGAAATTGGTGGTGGCAGAGAGTAAAGGAGGAAATGCCCTTCCAACAGAACAGACCCAGGCAATGCACTCATGACCTACTTCCTTTTTATGCCAGCTAAAATTTAGCTAAATTGAATCATTTCAAACTCCAGAGAAAAAAGAGGGCAACTGAGAGAAAGTGTGTACCATATTGCATGTGCAATTGGTGTAATTCGCACCTCAGAATTAGAAAATGACCCATCTTCACCAGACAATTACAACTCAAGAGTGCTTAATATCATAAAAAAGCACGAAATCAGCTGGATACCCCAATATAGTCAAACATAAAGTCCACACTGGACTTACTGTCTTCCACTTTCATTCGTCGGTATAATATTCCCAACACAGCATACACCTCTGTAGTTTGTGGGTGGGACTTGTCGCTTGATACAAATGTATGAACCTTGCCGGCAATATCCATCCAGCTACAACCGGGAAATCTATGATCACACATCTCCCTCATCATTTTGCGAACCCTAGCCACATCTAACCAGCAGCCAAGAGAAGCATAAGTGTTGGACATGAGACTGTAATTCAGATGCTTATTTGGCTCTAATTCAAAAAGCCTTTCAGCTGCCCATGTTGCTAATCCTACATTTCCATGGACTTTACAAGCCCCAAGGAATGCCCCCAGGGAGTCTGACCCAGGCTCCACTGGTATTGAGATCAAAACATTGAAAGCCTCATTTAGAAGACCGACTCGCCCAAGAAGATCAACCAGACAAGTATAATGCTCTGTGTCTGGCACAATCTGATTGTCAGTGATCATTAAAGTGAAGTAATGAAGCCCTTCACTTACTAACCCCCCATGGCTACAGGCAGAAAGAACCCCCAGAAAAGCAATTTTATCAGCCCTTACACCATCTGATAACATTTTCTCAAACAGTCCAATACTTTCCCTGGAAAGGCCATGGAATGCGTATGCTCCAATCATAGAAGTCCATGAAAAAAGATCAGGGTTTACTATTGAGCTAAAAGCTTCGAAAGAACAACCAATGCTACCGCATTTGGCGTATGAATTCACTAGAGCATTTGCAACAGACAAAAAAGCTGAAAAACCTTTTTTTATTGTGTAAGCATGAACTTGCACAGTTTCACCAGCCAAGGATAAATTGCCACACGAGCTAAGAACACTAGCCAAAGTTAGTTCATCAGGACAAAAATCTTCGTCTAACATTCCCCGAAGAAGTTTGGTCGCTTCCTTCCCATCGCCATATCGTCCATAACCTACAACTATTGTGGTCCAAGAGATCACATTTCTAGATACCATCCCATCAAAAGCCTTGCGAGCATCAGCTATATTTTCATTCTTCGCATACATATCAACCAGTGAACTAGTCACCACCACATCTAAATCAATGCCCAGTCTAACAACAATACCATGAATCTGACTACCCAATTCACAAGATCCAAAACTAGCACAGCAGCTTAGCAAATTTGTGAATGTAAAATCATCTCCCTTAAACCCCTCCATCCTCATCAAACTGAAGACACCAAAAGTCTCTTCACCTATATAATTCAGTACATAACAAGACATCATCACATTCCACAAAACCAAATCTCTCTCCAAAACATAATCAAAAACACGCCTTGCATCCTCAACTAAACCAAATTTTGCGTACCAATCAACAAGAGCAGCATTTACAAGACAATTTTCAAAAAATCCCAGTTTAACTATAAAACAATGCAAGCCTCTGCCAATCTCCATGTCATTTAGCTCCACTCCTATACGAAGCAGACTTGTAAACGTGATGTGATCAGGCCTCACCATTTCTAACAACATTCTCCTAATACAACGAAAACCCAATTCGAGATTCCACTTAAAACTCCGACCACAATCTGCTAAACCACTTATCAATGTATTCCAAGTCACGATATTCCTGACAAGCATTTCGTCAAACAACTTGGAAGCATCACAAATTTCCCTGCATTTGATATAAGCATTTAAGAGCTGACTTTGTAAAGACAGTATACTATAGTATCCTAACTTAATTAAATGTGAGTGTACTTGTTTTCCTTCACTAACAAAACCCAGTTTTGCAGATGTTTTCAAAGCGTTAGAACAGAAAGATTGGGTTAAGAACGAAATGTCGATATGGGTTGACTCGGGACTTGTCATTGAAGCTCTGAGTTTACCCGGAAGTGACGATTTGAGTGGCGTAAACAGGTCCTGTTTTGGGGCAGTTGGGTTGGTTTGGGTTATAGAAGGGGTTGTTGAAACTGATAACTGACGTTTGAAATGGACGGTGGGGATTGAAGAAGAGCGGCATCTGAATATCATAGGTTGATAAAAACAGAAGTGACAGTTATGGCAGTTATTAGAGCCCAAGCACGACTATGTAACGACGCCATTTCAACTTGCCACCCGAACCAACCGGGCTTCTATTGTTGCATTTTTTTGTTTCAAACGGTGAGAGGTGTTGTTGTGCCGGCCGGCGTGTATACTGATTAATATCATCTTTAATTTGATTAAAGTTGAACTATTCACATTAAAAATATAATTTTCATGAATAATAAATTCTTCGTAATCTAATGACTTTAATCATTTAGGGATATTCAAATTCAATATCAAGACTTTTAAGTTCGTCAAATTTTTTAACTAATTGTAGAAGAATTTACAAATTAATAAAATTTGGTAGGGCAATTTTTCATATTCGTGAAAAAACACTATAATCTCCTATGAGAAAATTCTCAATTCTCCTTCGAGAGCTTGGAGCCTTTGACTCTTATATAAAGTTCTTGTTTCGACAATTCAAAAATCGGGGAATGTTTCTCTTTTCTTTTGAGATCCAAAGTATAAAACATGGTTCCTAATTACTAAATATATCTGCTAATTTGTCGACCATAAGGGACATTGTTTGAAAAACCATTTTGGGTCCTCTAGATTTCACGACTTAGTCATCTCTCTCTCTCTCTCTCGTGGTAGACCAACAATTAGTGTGTAGGTTAAAACTGCACCACTTGTCTGTTATTCCTACTTAACAGCAAGCACCAGAAACCTGATAACAATACATACACTCTCTCAAAACAACTTTGAAAATAGAAAGAGACAAGTTGTTTGCTACATTTTTTAACCTGATATTCTAAACCTTGCAAGGGGTTTCAACTTAGTTTGTAAAGATTGAGGGGGCTAAAGAAAATGAAGAACCAGAGGCAGAATCACCACCTAAGGTGGTTTTGCAAATGGAAATGCCATTATATGGTGGTGGCACCACCACCTCCTCCGACCAAACATCCCTCCACCCTGCGCCGTCCATGGTGTTATCCGGCGAGGCCGACGGAGATTACCCTCCAGTCCTTGGCTATGAAGATGCCAAACATATATGTTACATAGAGTCCTCCAAGCTATGGGCTATTGCAGGACCAATAGCTTTTAATATTCTTTGTAATTATGGGATTAACTCCTTCACAAATATCTTTGTTGGGCATATTGGAACTGTGGAGCTATCTGCTGTTGCCATTTCTTTATCTGTTATTGCAAACTTCTCCTTTGGATTCTTGGTTAGCTTCCCTTCAACCTTTTCTTTCTCAGTTCACTTTCTTTCTTTTTTTCCCGGTTCAACGGTCAGCATAGATATAAGTCAGCCAGCTTTCTCGCACCTTAAGTAATCCTCTCTCTTATGTCAAAGACAAATCATCCACACCGTAATTATAATATTTATGAGAGATATATCTCTCATGATTTGACTTTAAAAAATTATCAAAATTTAAATTCAGAATGTCTAAATTTATAACTTGTCTATGTTACCACTTGAGTTATCTTTATAANAGAAGACCGACTCGCCCAAGAAGATCAACCAGACAAGTATAATGCTCTGTGTCTGGCACAATCTGATTGTCAGTGATCATTAAAGTGAAGTAATGAAGCCCTTCACTTACTAACCCCCCATGGCTACAGGCAGAAAGAACCCCCAGAAAAGCAATTTTATCAGCCCTTACACCATCTGATAACATTTTCTCAAACAGTCCAATACTTTCCCTGGAAAGGCCATGGAATGCGTATGCTCCAATCATAGAAGTCCATGAAAAAAGATCAGGGTTTACTATTGAGCTAAAAGCTTCGAAAGAACAACCAATGCTACCGCATTTGGCGTATGAATTCACTAGAGCATTTGCAACAGACAAAAAAGCTGAAAAACCTTTTTTTATTGTGTAAGCATGAACTTGCACAGTTTCACCAGCCAAGGATAAATTGCCACACGAGCTAAGAACACTAGCCAAAGTTAGTTCATCAGGACAAAAATCTTCGTCTAACATTCCCCGAAGAAGTTTGGTCGCTTCCTTCCCATCGCCATATCGTCCATAACCTACAACTATTGTGGTCCAAGAGATCACATTTCTAGATACCATCCCATCAAAAGCCTTGCGAGCATCAGCTATATTTTCATTCTTCGCATACATATCAACCAGTGAACTAGTCACCACCACATCTAAATCAATGCCCAGTCTAACAACAATACCATGAATCTGACTACCCAATTCACAAGATCCAAAACTAGCACAGCAGCTTAGCAAATTTGTGAATGTAAAATCATCTCCCTTAAACCCCTCCATCCTCATCAAACTGAAGACACCAAAAGTCTCTTCACCTATATAATTCAGTACATAACAAGACATCATCACATTCCACAAAACCAAATCTCTCTCCAAAACATAATCAAAAACACGCCTTGCATCCTCAACTAAACCAAATTTTGCGTACCAATCAACAAGAGCAGCATTTACAAGACAATTTTCAAAAAATCCCAGTTTAACTATAAAACAATGCAAGCCTCTGCCAATCTCCATGTCATTTAGCTCCACTCCTATACGAAGCAGACTTGTAAACGTGATGTGATCAGGCCTCACCATTTCTAACAACATTCTCCTAATACAACGAAAACCCAATTCGAGATTCCACTTAAAACTCCGACCACAATCTGCTAAACCACTTATCAATGTATTCCAAGTCACGATATTCCTGACAAGCATTTCGTCAAACAACTTGGAAGCATCACAAATTTCCCTGCATTTGATATAAGCATTTAAGAGCTGACTTTGTAAAGACAGTATACTATAGTATCCTAACTTAATTAAATGTGAGTGTACTTGTTTTCCTTCACTAACAAAACCCAGTTTTGCAGATGTTTTCAAAGCGTTAGAACAGAAAGATTGGGTTAAGAACGAAATGTCGATATGGGTTGACTCGGGACTTGTCATTGAAGCTCTGAGTTTACCCGGAAGTGACGATTTGAGTGGCGTAAACAGGTCCTGTTTTGGGGCAGTTGGGTTGGTTTGGGTTATAGAAGGGGTTGTTGAAACTGATAACTGACGTTTGAAATGGACGGTGGGGATTGAAGAAGAGCGGCATCTGAATATCATAGGTTGATAAAAACAGAAGTGACAGTTATGGCAGTTATTAGAGCCCAAGCACGACTATGTAACGACGCCATTTCAACTTGCCACCCGAACCAACCGGGCTTCTATTGTTGCATTTTTTTGTTTCAAACGGTGAGAGGTGTTGTTGTGCCGGCCGGCGTGTATACTGATTAATATCATCTTTAATTTGATTAAAGTTGAACTATTCACATTAAAAATATAATTTTCATGAATAATAAATTCTTCGTAATCTAATGACTTTAATCATTTAGGGATATTCAAATTCAATATCAAGACTTTTAAGTTCGTCAAATTTTTTAACTAATTGTAGAAGAATTTACAAATTAATAAAATTTGGTAGGGCAATTTTTCATATTCGTGAAAAAACACTATAATCTCCTATGAGAAAATTCTCAATTCTCCTTCGAGAGCTTGGAGCCTTTGACTCTTATATAAAGTTCTTGTTTCGACAATTCAAAAATCGGGGAATGTTTCTCTTTTCTTTTGAGATCCAAAGTATAAAACATGGTTCCTAATTACTAAATATATCTGCTAATTTGTCGACCATAAGGGACATTGTTTGAAAAACCATTTTGGGTCCTCTAGATTTCACGACTTAGTCATCTCTCTCTCTCTCTCTCGTGGTAGACCAACAATTAGTGTGTAGGTTAAAACTGCACCACTTGTCTGTTATTCCTACTTAACAGCAAGCACCAGAAACCTGATAACAATACATACACTCTCTCAAAACAACTTTGAAAATAGAAAGAGACAAGTTGTTTGCTACATTTTTTAACCTGATATTCTAAACCTTGCAAGGGGTTTCAACTTAGTTTGTAAAGATTGAGGGGGCTAAAGAAAATGAAGAACCAGAGGCAGAATCACCACCTAAGGTGGTTTTGCAAATGGAAATGCCATTATATGGTGGTGGCACCACCACCTCCTCCGACCAAACATCCCTCCACCCTGCGCCGTCCATGGTGTTATCCGGCGAGGCCGACGGAGATTACCCTCCAGTCCTTGGCTATGAAGATGCCAAACATATATGTTACATAGAGTCCTCCAAGCTATGGGCTATTGCAGGACCAATAGCTTTTAATATTCTTTGTAATTATGGGATTAACTCCTTCACAAATATCTTTGTTGGGCATATTGGAACTGTGGAGCTATCTGCTGTTGCCATTTCTTTATCTGTTATTGCAAACTTCTCCTTTGGATTCTTGGTTAGCTTCCCTTCAACCTTTTCTTTCTCAGTTCACTTTCTTTCTTTTTTTCCCGGTTCAACGGTCAGCATAGATATAAGTCAGCCAGCTTTCTCGCACCTTAAGTAATCCTCTCTCTTATGTCAAAGACAAATCATCCACACCGTAATTATAATATTTATGAGAGATATATCTCTCATGATTTGACTTTAAAAAATTATCAAAATTTAAATTCAGAATGTCTAAATTTATAACTTGTCTATGTTACCACTTGAGTTATCTTTATAATTATCAGTTTCATTTTTTGTGTGTGTATATATATATAACAAAGTTAATCGAGTTGAGCTTTGGGAGTTTGTTTTTCTAAACAATCCTAAATGAGTCCGAGTAAATCGACTATTTTACATATAAATGAGTCAAATTTTGTGAGATTGAGCTCGAGTTTAAAAAATTGTTCAAGTTCAATTTGTTAAAAATATAAATCGAGCTCAAGCCAAATTTTGTCTAAGCCGACTTCGAGCTATTTATTTGCAGTGTAGTTCTAATATTTTAATTCACCATCTCTACCTACTCCATGAATTTACAGCTTGGTATGGGAAGTGCACTGGAAACCCTATGTGGCCAGGCATTCGGAGCCGGACAAGTCGACATGCTCGGAGTTTACATGCAACGTTCATGGATAATCCTAACAGTTGCCTGTTTCTGCATATTGCCCCTCTACATATTCTCCACACCAATCCTAAAACTCCTCGGCCAACGCCACGACATAGCTGAACTCGCCGGAAAATTCTCTCTCCAAGTCATCCCACAGATGTTCTCACTTGCTATCAACTTCCCAACACAAAAATTTTTACAGGCTCAAAGTAGGGTTGGAATTCTTGCATGGGTTGGTTTTGTGGCACTTATTATACACATTGGGGTGTTGTATCTGTTCATCAAGGTTTTCGGGTGGGGCACGGCGGGGGCGGCGGCGGCGTACGATGTGTCGGCCTGGGGTGTGGCTTTGGCTCAGGTGGCTTATATTGTGGTTTGTTGCAAAGATGGGTGGAAGGGGTTGTCTTGGTTGGCATTCAAGGAGATTTGGCCTTTTGTGAGGCTCTCTATAGCTTCAGCAGTGATGCTTTGTTTAGAGATTTGGTATTTTATGACCATTATTGTTCTCACTGGACATCTTGACAACCCTGTTATGGCTGTTGGATCCCTTTCTATTTGGTGAGTCCATGGTTTTTCATACTAGGTTTCCATATGAAGGTTTAATGTTACAACTTATCAAACACCATACAAACATTATCCCCAAACTTATCAAACACCTTACAAACATTATCCCCAAAATAGTTCAAGTGATAATAATGATGAATTATAAATTCAGGAGCAATGTTACATAAACTTAAAAAATAAACTTGATAATTACGATAATTAATTTTACTGTGAGTCCCAACATTTATTAGGATCTACTACATATTCAATGGTTGAAATTATTAAGTCTAATTTTTAAGTCCATGCAGCATTACTCTAAATTCAGACATCTTAAATTCGAATCTTAACGATCCCTTATGGTCAGACCATAAGAGATTTATCCCTTAAGATCTTTCTAGTTCTCGTGTGGATAACTTACCTTTGACTGGATAGACCAGAAAAAAGAGATTAATTGAGATATGCATAAGCAAACCCTGACACCTTGACCATTGAAAAAAAAAATACTTTACAGATATTTTACAAAGTTAAGTGGTATTGAATCACTACAATCTACTCTTTAGACCCAAACATTCTCGTTTGAGACTTTTCCCTGTTGAGACGATGAGGACAAGAGATGTACAAACTACATGATTGTCAAATTACGAGGATCAATAACTCTGATACCACTTATAATATTTTAGATCTACATTAAATTATATGTGTTGTTTTGNATTTATAACTTGTCTATGTTACCACTTGAGTTATCTTTATAATTATCAGTTTCATTTTTTGTGTGTGTATATATATATAACAAAGTTAATCGAGTTTAGCTTTGGGAGTTTGTTTTTCTAAACAATCCTAAATGAGTCCGAGTAACTCGACTATTTTACATATAAATGAGTCAAATTTTGTGAGATTGAACNAATTATCAGTTTCATTTTTTGTGTGTGTATATATATATAACAAAGTTAATCGAGTTGAGCTTTGGGAGTTTGTTTTTCTAAACAATCCTAAATGAGTCCGAGTAAATCGACTATTTTACATATAAATGAGTCAAATTTTGTGAGATTGAGCTCGAGTTTAAAAAATTGTTCAAGTTCAATTTGTTAAAAATATAAATCGAGCTCAAGCCAAATTTTGTCTAAGCCGACTTCGAGCTATTTATTTGCAGTGTAGTTCTAATATTTTAATTCACCATCTCTACCTACTCCATGAATTTACAGCTTGGTATGGGAAGTGCACTGGAAACCCTATGTGGCCAGGCATTCGGAGCCGGACAAGTCGACATGCTCGGAGTTTACATGCAACGTTCATGGATAATCCTAACAGTTGCCTGTTTCTGCATATTGCCCCTCTACATATTCTCCACACCAATCCTAAAACTCCTCGGCCAACGCCACGACATAGCTGAACTCGCCGGAAAATTCTCTCTCCAAGTCATCCCACAGATGTTCTCACTTGCTATCAACTTCCCAACACAAAAATTTTTACAGGCTCAAAGTAGGGTTGGAATTCTTGCATGGGTTGGTTTTGTGGCACTTATTATACACATTGGGGTGTTGTATCTGTTCATCAAGGTTTTCGGTTGGGGCACGGCGGGGGCGGCGGCGGCGTACGATGTGTCGGCCTGGGGTGTGGCTTTGGCTCAGGTGGCTTATATTGTGGTTTGTTGCAAAGATGGGTGGAAGGGGTTGTCTTGGTTGGCATTCAAGGAGATTTGGCCTTTTGTGAGGCTCTCTATAGCTTCAGCAGTGATGCTTTGTTTAGAGATTTGGTATTTTATGACCATTATTGTTCTCACTGGACATCTTGACAACCCTGTTATGGCTGTTGGATCCCTTTCTATTTGGTGAGTCCATGGTTTTTCATACTAGGTTTCCATATGAAGGTTTAATGTTACAACTTATCAAACACCATACAAACATTATCCCCAAACTTATCAAACACCTTACAAACATTATCCCCAAAATAGTTCAAGTGATAATAATGATGAATTATAAATTCAGGAGCAATGTTACATAAACTTAAAAAATAAACTTGATAATTACGATAATTAATTTTACTGTGAGTCCCAACATTTATTAGGATCTACTACATATTCAATGGTTGAAATTATTAAGTCTAATTTTTAAGTCCATGCAGCATTACTCTAAATTCAGACATCTTAAATTCGAATCTTAACGATCCCTTATGGTCAGACCATAAGAGATTTATCCCTTAAGATCTTTCTAGTTCTCGTGTGGATAACTTACCTTTGACTGGATAGACCAGAAAAAAGAGATTAATTGAGATATGCATAAGCAAACCCTGACACCTTGACCATTGAAAAAAAAAA